CCGTTGCCCTTGCTTTCTCTTAAAGCATCAGACAACTTGTTGCTGTTACGAGCAACCGTCTGGCGGCGTGCGAAATTCTTCGACGCCCCAGAGTCAATCAAGATTCTAAAGGGATGATCGTATCCCCGTACACATCCGTGTACTACGAGCAACCCGCCGCTGCTCTTTGCCGATTCGAGAGTGCGAAGACTCTCAGGGGCTAAGTCCCCGTGGTACGCGCCACCCGCGCACCCATCACGAAAACTTAGTTCTTCCCCAGTAGGGCGCCCCGCCCCTACTGGTTCCCTGCGTTCCCCTGTCCCCGGGATCCTGGCTTCTGCCAGCGACCCTTCAAGGACGGGCTTGGGAAGGACCGTCTGCGGAGTCTTTCCGCGGGATAGTCGCGCTTGAAGTGGCCCATCTTCCTACAGCCGAAGCAGCGGATGTCACGCTGTTCGGCGGACCCGAGTTCCATGGGAACGGGTCCGTTGGGGCTTGTTCGACCGGGAGCCGACAAGGAACTCCCAGGCCACGCTGAGGCCGGCGTACGCGCCTGGCGATGGCTGTATTCTTCTTGAAGAGCCACTTGAATCGCCTCTTCAAGGGTGCTTGCCTGCACCCGGAACAGCTGAGTGCGTGCGGGGCCCACTCGAAGGCCGTCCATGAACACAGTCATCTTGATGTGTTCGTGAGTGGGTTTCCCACTAGGGACGCCGTGAGCTCCCGTATCTCTTGCACATAATCGTGCAGTTCGCGCCTTCCTTGTTTACACGCGAGGAAGCACGAACGCTGGCGGTACTCGTAGTTCGCCTGGAGGAACGCGGCTCGGAGCTGTTCGCACAGCTGAGCCCAGGATGTGACACATCCAGGGGATGTTGCTTCCCGAGTGTACACCCAACTCTTAGCACGACCGCTAAGGTTGGAGAGTGCAAAAGCAACACGCAGTTGCTCGGTCGAGATCAGAGCCGCGTCCATCGCGAGCTCTACTTCTCGGACCCAGAAGTGAAGGTTCTCGCCTTCCTTTCCTTCATACGGCTTAACCTTCAGCCGTATTGGCTTCGGGTGAGGCGGATTTGCTTCCGCCGCCGGAGCCTGCAGGTTCTCCCGCACATGCGCGATGAGGCCCTGCTCGTACGCGTCGAATGCATTGATGCGCTCGAGCTGCTCAGCCGGTGTTGATACCACCAGGCTCTGCAGGGCCTCCATCCCGAAGATGCCTGCCATCTTCCGAACCGACTCGAGCTGAGAGTCGTTCAAATGGGAGAAGTCGTTCCTATCCATGGCAACGAAGTTCGGAGAGGTTCAGGTAGTCTACCCGCGGTGGCGTGGATTGACTACTAGTGCTACCAAGTGTGACGGGGTCACACAGCACCTTGCGCTAGAGGAAGTTATTTTCCGAGAGCATACAAACTCTCAGTGAACGGCAGTTCACAGGTCCCCTCTTTAATTAAAGAGAGCGAAGTGACCTAAATAAGGTAGATTGTAAGCTGAGTATATTTATAGGTAGGTTAAGTTTGGGTTTAATACAAACTGTTAGTTACCTATAGAAATGCAATGTCATTTAGCCAATGGTTGGCTTTGAACGACCTTGGTACCTTGTACCAAATATCCCGGAGTATGACGTGTCATACTCCTGAAGTGTGAAGTGTCACACTTCATGTAACCAGGGTACACTTAGGGCTACGTACCCCGTTACACTTATGGGTATTACACGTCCACTATCTCGATAATGGCCAGAGTATCCGTCGCTGATCCATTTTTTTCACATTGGAGACGTTACGCGAGATTGCCATAGATCCACCGTTAAGATGAAACCGAATGTGGTGACAACTAGCATGAGTTTAATAAATAGTGGAAAAGTTGCTTCCCTACCATCATTTCAATCTTGTTGGCGTTCGAATGGACATTCGTGAGTGCTTGGCGTACACGGAAACTTGTTGCGCTTTCCAGCTCAAGTATTTTGAGCATAATAGGCTTCCCTCGGCGGGCGTACTACTTTTGCGGGATTCCTGTTCTCGTCTACCGTTTTTATACCGGGTTAATAGTGTGTGTGTGTGGGGGGGGAACATAAATGTAATAGTTTACTTCAAGCACGAGATTGGAGAGAAGATCGCTGCTGGTCCGACGAAGACAAACAGTGGCGGCAACAAGACCTCACCTACGTAGAAAATGCCGAGAGTTAAATTGTTAATATGGAATGAAATAAACATCCATTTATTGGTCCTTGCCAATATTAATTTTTAACGCAATTTTGTAGATCCTTCAGAAATTTATGGACCGCCTTCCTCAGCTAAGTCACTTTCCTCAACTAAGTCACTCTCCGTGTCGTTGTCCAACGCTTCGTCGCTCATAGCTTCATCCATGTCTTCATCTTCATCCTTGCCTTCGTTGTTGTCAGACTTGAAATCGTCACTAGATTCTTCGTCACTGGAGTCCTCGTCGCTTGAGTCCTCGTCGCTTGAGTCCTCGTCGCTTGAGACTTCGTCGCTTGAGCCTTCGTCGCTAGAGTCCTCTGACTCACTGTCCTCTTCATCCTCAGCCTCAGCCTCAGTTGAATCCGTCGTCTGATCGTCAGTCGAAGGGGTTCGCACGCTCTTGTCTTCGGTCCCGCACGCTTGTTCCTCGGCTTCAGCGAACGTCGGGGTCTCAGTTTTTAGATTCGTCGTGAGGTTTTCAGTGTTTTGCTCATCTTCCTCAGATTCTTCTTCATTCTCAGTGTCAGACACCTCAACTGGTGCCTCGGTAGAAGAGACCGCCTCCGCCCGTGAGCAACTAGACGACGTTTGCACGCTCTTGCCTTCAGATTTCGTCTTTGCTTCAGCAACAGTCGTCGTCGATAAATTTGTCGGGGCTTCGGTACTGTTCTCTTCTCGCATAGCTTCATCAACCACCTCATCTAGATTAACCGTTGTTGTGGTAATTACTTCGGGGGTTTGAGGGCTTTGGTCTTCTTCTTCAGCGTCACCCACATCGATAGACGACTCGTTAGACGAGCTCTTCGACGTCGATGTCAAGTTCTCGTTTTCCTCGTCGAGTTCTTCTTCTTCAACCTCGTCCGAAGTTTCTTGTGTATTAGTCGGTGTAGTTTCAATGCTCTCTTCCGGTTCATCAAAAACCCCTTCTTCGGATTCGAGTGTAGTTGGGGCTTGTGTTTGCATGTTCTTTTCTTCCTCAAATCCTTCTTCTGCCTCATTTAAGGCGCTCGACTCGTTATTGTTGATGCCATTTTCCTCTTCTCCAGTCGTCGTATCCGACAGAGATCGACGAAGATAGATCCGCTTTTCGGTAGTCGCCACCCGGATGGGAGCTGCGATCTCTGAGCTTGCACTCGTCGGTAGCGCCGCCAACAGCGACGCGGCAGCCAACACAACGCAGTGAATCTTCATGGCCACGTGCAACTCTTTGCCAGATTCAGAATGAGCGTTCGTGACAGTCGCAAGTTGCGAGCTCAGTACATTTTCATGGAAACCTCGATTTTTCCTTTTCGGCATAGAAAAAGTCAGAAAACGCCTTCATGGTGACCAGTAGGTGTTTCCATGAAATTTTAGCGTAGCGCAGATTGCCCAGGTTCATTAGTAGTACGCCTAGGAATGCCAAAATATTTGAGAAACTTTGTCCGCAGTTTCAATACGTAACGGGGCAAGATCAGCTCTATTAAAATAATGAGCTGGTCCTTTGTTGCCGCGATGACGGCGAGATCAAGTAGGAGCACCGAGTGCCCTCTTCCTTCATAATCTGGAAGGCATCTTAGCTCAGCTATCTGTGGAGTAGATTCTGGGACGACGTCTCAGATTTAGGCAATCTGAGCCATTTTGGTCATTTTTTATAAATCGTTCAGCTAATAATTAAAATCAATACATGGAGCATACTGAACAGAATGGTTGACGAGTTGTGCAGTGATATCTGCGAACGCCGAAAAGACTGGCCCACGATGCTCTTCATAATAAAGAGCTTTATTAAGGGTTTTTCGGGCCCCTGACCCATCGATTTGCTTCATGTCCAAACCTCAACCGGAACGATGAATCGCCGATCCACATTTGGTGTCGTTACTGAGACGTGAATGTTGATACCATCGGTCCGGAAATGCGTGCAGGATGTTTTTCCGTGTCTCTGGCGACAGGCGCTAGCCTTGTGGAGCGAATAGCCGCCCTGTGGACACTGTGGCATATTCTGTTCGTGGCGTGAAGCTTACAGCCCGATGGGTTACCCACCGGTTGTGTAGGAAATAAACTTCTACACCTGCCCCTTACGCGGACATTGCTATTATATTCCCCCGTAAACAAGTAGAGTCCGCCGCTTGCAAAATGCAATCGGTTCAGACACTGGGCCCACCTTTCGCTGTTACATCTTTGTCCGACTGGTCACGCGCGAACAAGAAGATAAAGCTAAGGACCCAGGCCCGACTGAGTTCAGTCGATTGGCACAGCACTCGTGGTGTTCTGGTCTTCAAACCCTGCAACTTGTGGCAGTAAGCTACCGTTTTGTCGCGTTCGCAAATCCCCCAAGCTAATTGGTTCTCCAGCCAGTCTTTTTATTATGGAACGAGGATGTCACACCCACGTCTTCTAGCTTTAATTGTTTACAAACCAAAAGGAATTCAGTACTTTTTCGAATCATCTCCAATTATTTTTATTGCTGTCTGATAGATATATATGTTTGATCCTTGTAGTGAAATCTGCACTTGTACCCGTTGGACTTGAATTCCAGGAGCTATCTATCATACTGTAGATGCTCTCGCGACAATAGGTTAGCTGCTGATCCTCTTGACAATCGGGGCCCATCACGATGCAACCATTTCAGTACTGAATCCAGAGAGTATTTCGTGCTCCTCATTCGAAAGGTGTGCTCTGTACTTCCCCTAGGTATTTGCGTGCCGCAACTTCATATGCTGGCGATGGGACGTAAGCGACCGAAACAGAAAACGCCCGAAGCTAACAGTCGAATGGCAACTCAACCGACCTCCGACAGAAAACAATCAGTCGAGAATTCGCCAAAGGTACACGACATCTCGCCAAGCAGCGATGCATCCGTTCAATGCCATAGCCGATACCTTCGACGTGACTCCAGTACGATCTCGACCTGTTCTCGCACCGCGAGTACCAGCCGTCACAGCACTCGCCGCAGAGAGAAGAGCCCCCAATCGACGCAAGAAGCTCAAATGGCGGACGCGCGATTCCCAGGCTTCGCAGCTCTACAACTTGGAGCTGGACGTCATGCATCTTCAACAGGAGATCCAACGCTTGGCAGAGTATCAGCAAATTCTCGACGCCCGCACTTTCAATCGTCGTGATGCGCTGGATGGCTACTACGTCAAGACAGTGCAAGAGTACCACCGTGTATTTGAGAACGGCTATCGTCCAGGCACCCCGCTTGATGCGACTCAGTACGTTATGCAAACTATGGACGAGAACCTGAGTATCGGTGGGTTCAGCGGACGTGGCGTGATGCTGCATCAGTGGGAACAATACACAAAGGCGCTCTCCGGCCTCGAATTTCACTACCTGCGCTCTCAAGTCCTCTCGATGGAAGGGCACACGGTCGTCACGTCCTATGCCAGCTACAAACACATCGTAACACGAGACACGGTGGAGGTCATGTTTCCTGAAGCACTACGACAATATCCACGCATTGTGACGAAGATGTTGGGGCGTGTGTTCAAAGGCGTCGGCAAGTTTGACTTCGTCTTTGACACGCAGACGCACAACATTATCTCGTTTGACTTCGAACTAGACTTCCTCGAAGAGTTTTCTCGTTTGCTTCAGGACCCGCGCGATCTTTGTGCCATTTTCAAAGGAGCAAGGATCACCGATGAATGTCTGATTGGGGACGTTATCGGCTACGGGGAGGTCACGTCGAGTCCAAACGCTGGTACAATTGCGACAGCTACAGTTGAGAAAAAGACAGAGGCCAGTTTCGATACAGATTTAGAGGATAAGACGCCTTCAGGGCATAGCGACGAAGAGTGGCGAGCCTTCGTTGACTAATAGGACGGGCAGACGCAAGGAGATTTGGGAGTAGGAGCATCGTGTCATGAAGTGGAAGTCTTTTTTGTGGGTCACGCGCGTTTTCCCTTGCAGAAATCAGAGACGAATTCCAACGATTCCGTCCAAGTTGAGGTGATTTTTTCATTACACACCTGTTGTACCACGCTGGTCCGTAACTGTAGTGAGACACGGGACAAGAGCGCGTGTGTTCAGCGTCAACTTCGCTGTTGCGACGTCCATGTAATAATGGATGAATGATAAAAGAACACTGGTATGAGTAAGGCGTGTTCGCTGCTCGTGAGCAACCAACGTGAATGAGCGGCGAATACTGATCTTCACGCTGAGACGAATGCGGCCAAGCTCACATACAGCACTAACAAAATGTCTATCCATAAAAGTAACATATTTGACGAGAATGCCAGTGATACCGGTAGAGATGAACTCGCGCTGTGCCATGTTGAAGTGACAAGAATGAGGCATTCCTACTGGTCCCAGCGTTTTTATTTTGGTTGTTTTCTTCAAACTAATAAAAAAAAACTGCAACAAGCTTTATATATTTATCATGCTCTTTCAATTTGAAATGAAATAGAAATAGAGTATTCTGCTCGTTCTTTTGTGGTTTATTCATGGTAGTTAGCTACCGGTAAATGATACCTATGCTCCAATAAAAAACGAGCATTGACAAAAACAAAAAAATACTTTTCTTTTATTAACGACAGGCAAGTTTAATAAGCTTCCAAATGATAAGTTTACGACCGGATAGAAAAGGAGAGTCCAGAAGATTGCGCCAAAGTATTTGTATTTGGTAAGTCCAACTTTTGTACAAGTACGTTTTTGATCTTCGACTGCAGAAAGCGGCGTTGTTAGTATTATAAAAATAATCTCCGCAAACTTTAAACTGTAGTGGTGAATGAGCGAAACAAAAAACGCCCGAAGCCAACAATCGAATAGCAACTCGACCGACCGGCGACAAATATTCACATGACTCAGTCAGTTGTGAATTCGCCAGGCATCCACAATATCTCGCCCGACACCACTGAACACGAACATTTCGGTCTCCGAAACCTTTGGCGTAACACCAGTACGGTATCGACCCGTGCTAGCTCCGCGTGTTCCTGCCGTCGCAGCACTCGCCGCTGCGAGAAGAGCTCCCGATCAACGCAAAAAGCTCAAGTGGCGGACGCGAGATTCTCAAGCCTCGCAGCTTTATAACCTGGAGCTGGACGTCATGGATCTTCGACAGGAAATCCAACGACTGACTGAATACCAGCAAATACTTAGTGCGCGGACTTTCAATCGTCGGGATGCACTGGATGGCTATTACGTCAAGACACGTAAAGTGATGCTGCATCAATGGGAGCAGTACACGAAAGCTCTTTCGGAGCTCGAATTTCACTACTTGCGGTCTCAAGTAGTTTCAGCGGAAGGACGGACGATTGTGACGTCCTACGCGAGTTATAGACACGTGGTAACGCGAGACATCTTGGAAGTCATGTTCTCTAACGTAAAATCCGTCAATACCCACGCATCGCGGCGAAGCTGCTGGGGCGTGTGTGCAATGGTGCTGGGAGGATCGACTTCACCTTCGACACGCAGAGTCACTACGTCGTTTCGTTCGACTTTGAAGTAGACTTTCTCGAGGTGTTTGCACGATTACTTTGGGATTCGCGCGAGTTATGCGGAGCAAGGATTTCCGAGGAGTGTCTGATTGGTGACGTGGCGTGTTACAAAGAAATTATGCCGCTTCAAGATAGCGAAAGAGCTGAAGCTGCGACAGCGAATAGTCCTAAGTGGAAGCTGGAGTCCCGTTTCGATATAGGTTTAGAGGACAAGACGTCGCGGAACTACAGCAATGGAGAGCTCCGACAGCCTTCATTAACCAGGACGGGCAAGCGCAAGCAAATCTGGGAGTAAGATCATGTAGCATCAACAGTACTAATACATGTACTACCGTCTTACCCCACATATAAGGCATATGTGCTCTAAATAAAATACGGGATTCGCTCGACATCTAGCTTAAACCTCAATTTGACCACCTACCTAATTAGAACACATGTGGCTGAAACCTAGTTACAACACAAGGCTGTACCAACCAATGAATATTCTTGAGAGCTCCAACTAACCACCCTTCTCAACAAACTTGTCGGTGCTGCTGTTACTTGGCTTTAATTCTCTTATTTTATAATTTACACAGCCATGAGTGCTGAGCGACGTAGCTATAGGTAAGTACTGTTGACAAGGACAATAAGCTGGTGTCCAAATTCTCGTACACGGTTGAAAATCCTCTGAAAACGCTGTGCTTGGTTCGCTCCGGATCATATTTCGCAGTGAAAGTAGATGGGAC